CCCGCCAGGTAGACAACTCACATACATCTTCATGGCAATTTTATTGTAGAGAAACACAGAAGTTCTGTGAAATTATGCGAGCACTGTTCATTAACTAAGTATCGGTCACATTCAAAACATCCAAAGATTAAATTAAAGCTGCAAACGCTGCACGACACACTCCACAGTATGGAACCAGAAATTAGATGGTGAGAGTGTATTTTTTGTACGTATTTCTTAATACGAAGGAATTTTCTGCCGTCCAGAAGGGGTACAGGGCAGTTTAATCTACTTCAATCTAATAAATATTAAAATGTACTATGTCTGTAGGGTGTCTGAAAGGGGTAGGGGGTCAACTTTCAATTTCCTCTGTAGGAAAGGTGTGGATGTTTCCTGGAACTGATGACCCATAATACACATTCTTGAATGTTGAAAGTTGGCTGGCCAATATGTTGAAGATTTAATAGAAAATTAATATCATGAAATTATCTAATAAACACCCAATCCCCCTGATAAACATCCTGTATGTAATCGACACCCTTATTAAACCAGAATTGTAATAGGTACCCCTCACACGCCACTTATCTAATAAACACCCCTTGAGTTAATTAAGCAATTATGCTTATTTACAGCATTAACCCCTTAACCTGTTAATTGCATATTGCCCCCTAATGTGTCCTATTTTATTATAATTTGACTCTGTCTAACACCAGATGATTTTACTGGTCAAATGGAGAGTGCTGGCGCTAGATTGGTTGATCAGACTATCTGCATGCGGTAGTTAACCCATTAAGTTGCAACGATTTTACTCGTCAAAGGGAAGGTCTTGTGCACCAATGGGTTTAACCTGTCCCTTATCAAACAAATGCTCCTAATCTCTAAGTGACAGAAGCACCCCTTATCTAGAACAGCGGACTAGATACCCGAAGATGGGGTTTGAATCCTGCTCAGGACGATGTGGAATCGTTGTTCTCTACGTCAGAATAGTATGAAACTAGTTTTCATATATAGTGTTTAATGTTAACCCATTGATTGCAGCACTCTCCCCTTGATGAGTATAGAATTGTCTGTTGTTAGACAGAGTAAAATATGCATTATTGCCACATAGGGTGATGCTCAATTCCAGCAGTATTTTTCAGGTCAATCAGAATACTGTGTGAGATGCTGGAACAGCTACAACTCGAGGCTGTGTTTGCATGGTTGTCCACGCTGGGTGGAGCTCATTCCGCGTTAGGAGATTATTTCAATAAAAATGTAATTATTGACGTTGTAATTAATAAACTAAACTTTATTTATACTGGATAGCTTTATCTGTTCTGAACTGTTCTCCGGTTCTCCCGAGTCCTAGAAATCCAGTAAGGTTTATCCATTATTGATCCAGTAGTGTTACTACAGGAGGAAACCTAAACTAACTTTATTTTATTGGATAGTTCTACCAGTTCTAAACTGTTCTTCCTGGAGGTCCAGTAAGGGTCATACTTTATGGGTCCGCCGTTACTACAGAAGCAAACCTGAAAACATTTTATTAAACCTAATCAGAAACAGCTGCGAAAAATGCAACTGAACCTGCGATTCCGCTGCAGCGCTCTAACCAACTGAGCTACAGTACAGAATCTAGTTGTCGAACCCTAACCACAAGTATCCCAAAGGTCGCGGGTTTGATTCCCACCGTGGCCAAGCAAACTATTCAGCTTGCCCGGTGTGGATGCACATTGCACCATAGAAATAATAGACATAGAATGCGCACCGATGACGAATCATGTCTCCACTTTTTCACCGTGCGGCACCTTTTGAATGCGCCATTTTGAATGCGCCATTTTGAACGCTATTTTGAATTTACGAAATAAACGTAACTTTCGTCAACCAATTTACAAAATACAAACCAAACGTGTTCAAACAAAACTCGAAAGCCTCGCTCCTCGTGCAAAAGTTCCAGAACCGCGCAAGATTCTTCACTGCAGGAGTCTGGACCGAGTAAAATGCCCTTTTCAATGCGCCATTTTGTGGAGACAAAGTTTGGACTGAAGCGAGATAGGAGCACGCATTCTATGTCTATTATTTCCATGATGCACACTCGCAGTAACATCACAAAGTTCATGTAGCCACTAGCTTCATTCTAACCACAAGTTTATTTAAATAAATGTATAATTACAAAATTTACACTCCATAATTTCCATATACAAAACCCTTCAACTATATTATTCATGCATGGAGTGACACGCCAAAAAACCCCTTGATATTTACCCATAGTAGTATATATACATGAACTTGTGGTTAGAGGTCGACAACTGGACTCTGTAGCTCAGTTGGCAAGGCGCTGCACTGGAATCACAGGTTCGATTCCTGCCAGAGGACGTATGGTTGTATTTTTCGCAACTGCTCCTGGTTTATAGCTTAGCATATAAGTCTATTAGTTCTAAACCGTTCTATAGCCTTCCATCCAATGCACCCGATCAGGGGCGTAGGAAGCAATGGGGGGCAGAAGAAAAATTTTCCCGTCGTGCCATACCGAAATTGCACGTTTTTGACCAAATTTTTTTAAAAAACTTGGAAATTTCCAAACAAAAAGGGCACCTTTGATGTTAATTTAGTATTTACAGCGACATTAGCTTGTACAAAAAGGACACTTTTCATCACAAAAAAGGGCACTTTTCATCACAAAAAAGGGCACTGTTAGTCCCCCCCCCCCGGGTTCCTACGCCCCTGCACCCGATATTATTTTGCCCTGGCCAATGCCAGAAGATTTTATTTGTCAAGGAGAAAGCTCGCGGACTAATGGATTAAATTGAAAAAAATTCTGAAATGTGAATGAGTCGCGTACAAAATGATAAGCGGAAAACTGCATAATGAACGTGTCCCAGGGCTTTCTAGGGAACAAGACAATTTACCAATTTTGGAATGGGAACACGGGAACAAACCATGTATGCGTGGGCAACAAGAGAACATTGTGAAATCTTTGTGGAAAGCAAGGGAACGAAGCCAAAGGAAAATTTCAAAAGGAAACACAGAGGCTTTCCCCCTAGGAGAAATTGAACGCTGATCAGAACCACACCCTAACACAAAATCCTATCACTTCTCAATTTAATTTCTAGGCAGAAGTTGCATGGGAGTTATCACTGAAACAGCTGTATATAGCAATAAAGATTGGAGAGCCAGCACTAGCTGCTCATTGTAAACTCTTTATGTCTATCAGCTTGATGCAAAGAGGGCATTATTCTGCAGCTTCGAAAATTATCAGGTAAGTAGAAATACTGTAGTCTGTCCTGTCGAGTGTGGGTGGGCCTGTATGTTACTTGTTAGATATTTGTGGATAACATGCGAGCATTTGACTCGTCAAGTAGCCAAGGAACCAATCAGTAAGTCGGACCGTAACAACTGACTAGCTTGTAAACTGATCCGAGTGGTGGATTCCGGAAGGTTTTTTTCAGGGGGGTGCTGTGCGAGCAGCCAAGCACACCGGAACCAATGAAAGTGCACCTATAGTAGTTTCTTGGTTACAATTTCCAGAATGTTGAATAAATATAATTTACTAATTATATAAAATATAAATACCGATTCTCTTATGCTGTGATTGTGTGAAAATATTTGACTGTTTTCTAACTTATATTTCAAATATTTTTGCAGCAAAATTAACAATTTGCTTTATTCAATCAAAGTATCAATCCAAACCAACCACCAAAACCAGACCCGCTAGTATTTTGAACTAGTGTTATGGTGCTGCCTTGAATTCAAAAACTTAAGTTAGTCTAATGAAGACTGATACCAAACTTTGAATAACTCAAGTTGACCAACGCCAACAGGGGTGTACCCCTACTATAAATCCACCACTGAACTGATCCCTGTTCTGCCAGCCAACAAGCGAGTGAATGAGTCGACATTTTACGTATTTAGATCAGTTTCAAGAAGCATAGTAAATGATAAAAGATTACAAGAACGAAGGGTAAGGTTTTATCTAGTAATTATTAACAGCTATATACTTTTAACTTGTGTCATTCGCCTACACAGTCTTTATTTAAAGTGCTTATGACACGAAATTTCACATGGCTATATAACCTCTTTGGAAGAATACTATTTAGTCTTGTAGCTCTCTTCTTTCCCGAGATATTCAACTTGTTTGTGCATATAGTCTGCGAGCAGGCTCTCAAGGTAAAATTAGATTTCATTTCACCTTGAAAGCCTGCTCGCAGGCTACACTGCATACAGAATGTTTATCTTGCAGAGTAACGATAACAAATATTTAAAAGTGTGCTTATATGTGCACAAACCATTTAATCAGCAGGTCTTCGTATCTGGGTGTGGAATATTTTAACCAATTTCAAAATTAACGATGTTCCTCAAAAACCTGATGGCGTCATGCAGTGTGATGTCATACTGATATTTGCATGTGAAACAAAGTTGAATATGTCGGGAAGGAAAAGAACTACAAAGTATTCTACCAGAGAGGTTATACAGTCGTTTTAAGTGATCTTTGCAAAGCAATCAAGAAAAGATTGGATGACATTTCGTATCTCTTTTTACCCAATGCACCCTCAAATATCAATTAAAAAATAAATACCCACCCCTGTCCAGAAACGTTACAAAAGGACACTATTCAGTTGTCACACATGTCCTTTACCACTTCTGTGACACAATTTTGAGAACTACTTAACAATGTGCAATTTTCTGTAGTCTAAAGTTTCATGTTGTCTGCACATGCACTTTCTTTGGAGACACCATTTGTCTCCTGACAAATCGGAAAATGGCCAAGATAGTGACTCTGATTGATTTACATATTGTATTGACATATGACTGTTGACATTGCTTTTTGGTCTTAACTGATTTAAGGAGTCGTGCTTTGGAAATGACAATCAATTTTTATTACTCAACCCTTGAGTTGTTTTGTTTTTCGTCAACCCAACCTTTTACTCACTAAAAAAATTGTTCACCCAGCACTTTTCTCTTTGGTGCCACCCCCCGCCATAAATAATGACCGGCCCTTAAACTGTTCTCACGTGCAATAATTACAAAATCTATTTCTGCATTTCAGTTGATAAATTGTTGCAAAGCTGCAAAGGTCAGGTTAAAATACATCAGACAAGAAAGAAAAGAAACGCGAAATGGTATCCATAGTGAAGATATGACGAATTCAGGTATTCCAAGTTCGCCTCTATTTAAAGATTAAATATTAAAGATTAACAGTTCGGCTAATCTAGTGAATGATACCAATTGATCGTGTTTATTCAAACTAAACTACATCAACTAAGCCGGCGGAGGTAATTTGCAGAACGCGACTTCTGTACTTCCGCTCAGCTTTTACGGGGTTAGGACCCTAACTCTAACACTTTCGGACAGCTTTTACGTATCACCGCTGAGCGAAAGTACAGAAGTCGCGTTCTACATTCTGCAAATTACCCCTGCCCTCAACTAAGCCATACTCCACAACACTCAATAGTCTGTAACATTCTTCAGGGCTTTCAAAACAAGCCAGCGGGTGTCATGAGATTCACTACCGGCTACTTTGTTTAAACTTTTAAGCAATGGCAAAGAAATAGCAACAATAAACTCACAAAGTAACTATTGCCAACAAATAGCTACAACTACCAATGCGATGAAGGAGAAATGTTTATTGGAAATTTCTCTTCTGATTCTAATCTGCATTTACCAATTGATGCCTTCTTAATGTTACAGATATCCTTCAGACAAGAACTTAAAGCATACTGTTCAACTAATTGTCCAAGAAAAATCTGTACATCAAAAGATGACAATATTTTTAATACGGTCATAAATTATTTCCTAAGACTTAGTAAATATATTCCTGTATTGAAGGCAGCCAAAGAAAGATTATGAAAGCCCTGATCAGATCTAAATGCATCTAATCTACCCGGTTAACCAATCAAATGCTTTTGAGCATGAGAGGTAGTGGAAGTACATGAGGGGTAGTAGTAGTGGAAGTACATGAGGGGTAGTAGTAGTGGAAGTACATGGGATAGTAGTAGTGGAAGTACATGGGATAGTATTAGTGGAAGTACATGGGATAGTAGTAGTGGAAGTACATGGGATAGTAGTAGTGGAAGTACATGGGATAGTAGTAGTGGAAGTACATGGGATAGTAGTAGTGGAAGTACATGGGATAGTAGTAGTGGAAGTACATGAGATAGTAGTAGTGGAAGTACATGGGATAGTAGTAGTGGAAGTACATG